TTTTTCTCAATAAAAGCTATGCATGCGCATTGACAGATTGCTCTAGTAGTGACGCTGTCGAAAGTTCCAGAACGAGCCGCCATTGTTTACTTTACGGACATGGAAACGTGAATGTGCATCAATGAAAAAATAAATATGTCAGCATCCATTTAATGTATACAAGTAGACATTATCGATTCCTAATTAAGGGCATGTTTCCAAATGTTGAGGAGACCAGTAATGGCTGTCATTCAGACCGTTATCTCGCTAAGAAGTGAAATAAACATAGAAGTAGTCCGGTGCTATATTTGAAACATGTATCACTCCGCATAACTTTTTTCACTGGTATAATTTCACATTATATTCACAGTTACGCTAATTTGTACGCAGTCAGAGTTTACTAAGCTGAAGGAGGGAGAGATGTGAATAAATATTAGTTCACTTTTTTACAATACTAAAAGGAAACTAAATGGTTAAAAGTTAAAAACTGCATACATACGAAGCAAGAACACAGCGAAATGGTCAGATAGTATTACAACAAGTATTTTAAATGTTAGATTTTACTGTATAGGCCAATTGTACGTGGCTTATCGTTCATTTTGAGACGTACCAGTCTACGGTAAAAGTTGCATCGAGAAAGAGAGGGAATATTGAGCTCACCTTTCCCATTGTTGTAGGTTTCAACTTAAGTAAGTCTTGACTGAAGACACTGAATGTAAAATAGAGACGTATGTTCAACTTATTTAGTTCTTGAATAAGGAAACAGGTTTTAAAATCGACAAAAACACTTTGGACTGTATATAATCTCCCGCGATAGGACCTGGTCCTTTACGCCATTCTTATCCGGTTTTAGTGGTCTTCAATAAGCCCACAAACTCAGATAAATCCAATCCTATCAGCTTTCTATTCAATTATTAAGTGTTTATAGGTGAGATAGCGTCCGTTACATTAATGAAATTCGCCTTTTCAGGCTCACAACGAGTCGGTATGACCAATAGTATACTCTGTTTGGGATTTAATTAGAGACTGCACTCCATGACCTTTGAGATTGTGACAGTCGAGCGGTGAAACGTTTACCCATTATGACTGTGGTCCTTAGGCCTGTGTTCGAACCCTGGGTCCGTATTTATGAAACTGTTCTCATGCTCAAGCTTAAGGATTTTGCCCTAACCTTATTTCTTGTTCAAATTATATATTGTTAAAAAACTTATTTTGTCAACGATTTTAAAAATAAATGAATGATACTTAAAGCCGAATACCGTTTTCAATGTTCACAGTTGTAATCGATTGGCATTATTTTAGTTAGTTACAAGGAAGCTGGTTTGAGCACAAAATCCATGCTTAAGCATGAGAACGGTTTCATGAATGTAAACCTATGCCGGGGCCTGCATTCATGAAACCGTTATCATGCTTAAGCATAGATTCTGTGCTCAAACCGACTTTCTAGTTCCGGTTAAAAAATAAATATTTTTTGGCAATGATTTCGAAAAAAAAAATCAAGAAACTTAAAGTCGAATATTGTTTTACAATGTTTACATTTGACTTTTTAATCGTTTGACATGATTTAAGTGAGTTACAAGGAAGTTGGTTTAAGCACAAAATCCATGCTTGAGCATGAAAACGGTTTCATGAAGGCGAACCTAGGCCAAGTTTTACACTTAGCAGAACTATAGTTGTTTTTTGCTTTTTCTAAAGCCCGTATTTCATGTAGTAAGTATTTAAGGTAAAGGCACCAACAAGTCTAACTGTATTATTTACAATGTCATTGTTATAAAATATTTGTTTAACACATTTTCAAAAGAAATATTTCATAAAAATCACATGGTTCTATGTATTTGACAGAATTGTAGTTGTTCAAAATTGGAATGTTTGAAAATAGAAATAAAAAAAAACTATGAAAACTCCAGGAGTCTGAATATTGGGACGAAACGTTCTTCAATATGATCTCAATTTTTCGATTTCTAACAGAAACGGTTTAGGATTGTACAGAATCTATCAATGACTCACCAGATCAAATAGTTCAAAGTGTTGTCAGCTAAACGTTTGAAAACTCAAATTTCCAACAGACGCGTAGCTGGACTGTAAACAATGTGCATCAAATTGTATCATATAACCATCCTAATGAAGTCCGACCGGAAAAAATATATTGAGAACAATATTTGAGTATTTCTTTCTTTCACTATTGCGAACAATATTTGAGTGTTTATTTATTTCACTATTGAGAACATTATTTGAGTGTTTATTTCTTTCCCTATTGAGAACAATATTTGAGTGTTTATCTCTTTCACTATTGCGAACAATATTTGAGCGTTTATTTCTTTCACTATTGCGAACAATATTTGAGCGTTTATTTCTTTCACTATTGCGAACAATATTTGTGTGTTTATTTCTTTCACTATTGTGAACATTATTTAAGTGTTTATTTCTTTCACTATTCAGAACAATAGTTGAGTGTTTATTTCTTTCACTATTGCAAACAATATTTGAGTGTTTATTTCTTTCAATATTGAGAACATTATTTTAGTGTTTATTTCTTTCACTATTGAGAAAAATATTTGAGTGTTTATTTCTTTCACTGTTGAGAACATTATTTAAGTGTTTATTTCTTTCACTATTGCGAACGATATTTGAGTGTTTATTTCTTTCACTACTGCGAACAATATTTGAGTGTTTATTTCTTTGACTATTGAGAACATTATTTGAGTGATTATTTCTTTCACTATTGAGAACAATATTTAAGTGTTTATTTCTTTCACTATTTAGAACAATATTTGAGTGTTTATTTCTTCCACTATTGCGAACAATATTTGAGTGTTTGTTTCTTTCACTATTGCGAACAATATTTAAGTGTTTATTTCTTTCACTATTGAGAAAAATATTTGAGTGTTTATTTCTTTCACTGTTGAGAACATTATTTAAGTGTTTATTTCTTTCACTATTGGGAACAATATTTGGGTGTTTATTTCTTTCCCTATTGCGAAAAATATTTGAGTGTTTATTTCTTTCACTGTTGAGAACATTATTTAAGTGTTTATTTCTTTCACTATTGAGGACAATATTTGAGTGTTTAATTCTTTCACTATTGAGAACATTATTTTAGTGTTTATTTCTTTCACTATTGAGAACCATATTTGAGTGTTTATTTCTTTCACTACTGCGAACAATATTTGAGTGTTTATTTCTTTCGCTATTGTGAACAATATTTGAGTGTTTATTTCTTTTACTATTGAGAACAATATTTGAGTGTTTCTTTCTTTCACTATTGCGAACAATATTTAAGTGTTTATTTCTTTCACTATTGCGAATAATATTTGAGTGTTTATTTCTTTCACTGTTGAGAACATTATTTAAGTGTTTATTTCTTTCACTATTTAGAACATTATTTAAGTGTTTATTTCTTTCACTATTGAGGACAATATTTGAGTATTTATTTCTTTCACTATTGAGAACATTATTTGAGAGTTTATTTCTTTCACTATTGAGAACACTATTTGAGTGTTTATTTCTTTCACTATAGAGGACAATATTTGAGTGTTTATTTCTTTCACTGTTGAGAACATTATTTAAGTGTTTATTTCTTTCACTATTTAGAACAATATTTGAGTGTTTATTTCTTCCACTATTGAGAACACTATTTGAGTGTTTATTTCTTTCACTATTTCGAACAATATTTGAGTGTTTATTTCTTTCGCTATTGTGAACAATATTTGAGTGTTTATTTCTTTGACTATTGAGAACATTATTTGAGTGATTATTTCTTTCACTATTGCGAACAATATTTAAGTGTTTATTTCTTTCACTATTGCGAATAATATTTGAGTGTTTATTTCTTTCACTACTGCGAACAATATTTGAGTGTTTATTTCTTTCCCTATTGAGAACAATATTTGAGTGTTTACTTCTTTCACTATTGCGAACAATATTTGAGCGTTTATTTCTTTCACTATTGCGAACAATATTTGTGTGTTTATTTCTTTCACTATTGTGAACAATATTTGAGTGTTTATTTCTTTTACTATTGCGAACAATATTTGAGTGTTTATTTATTTCACTATTGAGAACATTATTTGAGTGTTTATTTCTTTCCCTATTCCGAACACTATTTGAGTGTTTATTTCTTTCACTATAGAGGACAATATTTGAGTGTTTATTTCTTTCACTGTTGAGAACATTATTTAAGTGTTTATTTCTTTCACTATTGCGAACATTATTTGAGTGTTTATTTCTTTCACTATAGAGGACAATATTTGAGTGTTTATTTCTTTCACTGTTGAGAACATTATTTAAGTGTTTATTTCTTTCACTATTTAGAACAATATTTGAGTGTTTATTTCTTTTACTATTGAGAACAATATTTGAGTGTTTCTTTCTTTCACTATTGCGAACAATATTTGAGTGTTTATTTCTTTCCCTATTCCGAACACTATTTGAGTGTTTATTTCTTTCACTATAGAGGACAATATTTGAGTGTTTATTTCTTTCACTACTGCGAACAATATTTGAGTGTTTATTTCTTTTACTATTGCGAACAATATTTGAGTGTTTGTTTCTTTCACTATTGAGAACATTATTTAAGTGTTTATTTCTTTCACTATTGCGAACAATATTTGAGTGTTTATTTCTTTCACTATTGAGAACATTATTTTAGTGTTTATTTCTTTCACTATTGAGGACAATATTTGAATGTTAAATTTATTCACTATGTAGTCAGTGGCTTTCTTCGTTTTTGTTTCAGAATTTTTGAAATGAAAATAGCTGTTTTTGTTGATAATACAGAAAATATTTTAATATATTAAAGAATAGAATTTTAGCGAAAAATTTCTAAAAATAAAGTCGGCAACCCGTACACTAGGTTCCGGATATTCATTACCGAGTGTAGGCATGCGCAGTCGTGATGAAGCTATATTGATGAAGCAGCCAAAGTTACTAACTTAATATTTAAATATTTTTATCTAAATACCAGTCACATCAAAATTCACAATTTCAGTAGTCATGTTAGTTTCACGGTATCAAATTTGGAAATGTTGAGTCAAGCTGTGACCATAGTTCTACCGGCTGGACCCAGCAGATACGGTACGTCATCAAACACCTCTACGTGCTGGAAACAACAGAGCCTCGCGCGGGACGACATGGGAGGACCCATTCGGTTTAGATTGTACGTTTCCTTTCACACAGGTGTGTGAGATTCTCCAGATAACATCGCTATGTCAGATTCCTGGCGAACTTCACAAGAGTATAGGCGGGCATGTGATAGTGATGCTATAGTTTAAACACTCTGGAGGCAAACAATAGTTATACCTATATATAAATACATACTAGATACGTTTCTTAAGGCGGTAATTCTTTGAAATAATTTAAAACAAGAGTGTTATATATAAATATAAACTTTATTTATTTAACAACAAATATGAAACAAGTTTTGCAACTTATGTTAATTACTCTTGTTGGGCCAGATGTTAGCGCGCGGGGGGTCTTACTGTGGGAGAAAACCAGAGTACCGGGAGAAAACCCACGTAGTCGGGCAGGTGACCCCATACCTTTTCACGTCCGATCGGGGAATCGAACCCCGGTCGCCTTGGTGAAAGGCAAGTGCGCTATCCACTGTGCCTCCCGACCGGCCGAAAACAAGAGTGTTTAGCTGTGACAAAATGTAGCATTGTCCCTCGATCGTAGGCCGGGGTCACAGGGACATGAGCATTAGTTTCAGTATAGCTATGTTTGGACCCAAACTGGTGTGCTCAGAGTAATACTAGACTTTTTAGGGATATAGTTAAATCATCCTGATCAATGGCTAGGCTGATACCTTTCCTTTGAAGATTACAGAAGAGCGACTACGGCCTTCAATGCCTGTACTTATTACCGGTACGCTGCCGCGCGATTATTTTGATGTACATCAAATGATCAAGCTTGTGTACATTCACTGGGGGCAGGCGGCGGGTACAGAACCTTCGGTTTTGTCATGATATATTCCAGGGGTGCAGGGAACGAAAGTAATCGTATAACTCCCGGACCATCAACTACCTCAAACGTAATTAAATTGTGAAACTGTGAAACTGTGAAAGCTACAACGGGACGATTACTGCACTAAATCTTGTGATGGTCAATAAAAAAGAATTGATAATTTCTCTATAAGATGTATGTCAACAAATATTATAGGGGTGCTATTTATGTGACAAGTGTAGAAGATTGCTGACCGAGACACGAAACTTTCACAATCTATCCATATGAAAAACAAAAGTGCATACCTAAACTACAAATTTTCTACAAAGGAGACGGTGTCCCGTGTATATTCGGAATAAAAAGGGTAATACTAATATTTAATTCTGCTGCCTTTTATCCACGTACTACTTCCGTGTCTCTTATCACAACTACCGTTTTATTAATACCCGTAACTAAATGGTCCCGTATGACCTACCTAAAGGTCACCCACTGCCTACCGTGTGGCCCCTTATGACCCAACATATAGGTCACCTACTACCTACCATGTGGCCCCTTATGAGCCAACCTATAGGTTACCCACTGCCTACCGTGTGGCCCCTTTTGACCCAACCTATTGGTCACCTACTGCCTACCATGTGGCCCCTGATGACCCAACCTATAGGTCACCCACTGCCTACCGTGCGGCCCCTTCTGACCCAACCTATAGGTCACCCACTGCCTACCATGTGGCCCCTTATGACCCAACCTATAGATCACCCACTGCCTACCGTGTGGCCCCTTATGCCCCAACCTATAGGTTACCCACTGCCTACTGTGTGGCCCCTTATGACCCAACCTATAGGGCACCCACTGCCTACCGTGTGGCCCCTTTTGACCCAACCTATTGGTCACCTACTGCCTACCATGTGGCCCCTGATGACCCAACCTATAGGTCACCCACTGCCTACCGGGTGGCCCCTTATGACCCAACCTATAGGCTACCCACTGCCTACCGTGTGGCCCCTTTTGGCCCAACCTATAGGTCACCTACTGCCTACCATGTGGCCCCTGATGACCCAACCTATAGGTCACCCACTGCCTACCATGTGGCCCCTTTTGACCCAACCTATAGGTCACCCACTGCCTACCGGGTGGCCCCTTATGACCCAACCTATAGGTCACTCACTGCCTACCGTGTGGTCCCGTTTGGCACACTTCGGTCACCCACTGCCTACCGTGTGGCCCGTTATGACCCAACCTATAGGTCACCCACAGCCTACCGTGTGGCCCCTTATGACCCACCCTATAGGCCACCCACTGCCTTCCGTGTGGCCCCTTATGACCCACCCTATAGGCCACCCACTGCCTTCCGTGTGGCCCCTTATGACCCACCCTATAGGCCACCCACTGCCTTCCGTGTGGCCCCTTATGACCCACCCTATAGGCCACCCACTGCCTTCCGTGTGGCCCCTTATGACCCACCCTATAGGCCACCCACTGCCTTCCGTGTGGCCCCTTATGACCCAACCTGTAGGTTACCCACTGCCTACCGTGTGGCCCCTTTTGACCCACCCTATAGGTCACCTACTGCCTACCATGTGGCCCCTGATGACCCAACCTATAGGTCACCCACTGCCTACCATGTGGCCCCTTATGACCCAACCTATAGGGCACCCACTGCCTACCATGTGGCCCCTTTTGACCCAGCGTATAGGTCACCCACTGCCTACCGTGTGCCCCCTTATGACCCAACCTATAGGTTACCAACTGCCTTCCGTGTGGCCCCTTATGACCCACCCTATAGGCCACCCACTGCCTTCCGTGTGGCCCCTTATGACCCACCCTATAGGCCACCCACTGCCTTCCGTGTGGCCCCTTATGACCCAACCTATAGGTCACCCACTGCCTACCGTGTGGTCCCGTTTGGCACACTTCGGTCACCCACTGCCTACCGTGTGGCCCCATATGACAAACATTTCGGTCCCGTATGACATACATTTCAGATACCCACTACCTACCGTGTGGTCCCGTATGACACACATTTCGGTCCCGTATGACACACATTTCGGTCCCGTATGACACATATTTCGGATACCCACTACCTACCGTGGTGTCCCGTATGACACACATTTCGGTCCCGTATGACACACATTTCGGTCCCGTATGACACACATTTCGGTCCCGTATGACACATATTTCGGTCACCCACTACCTACCGTGTGGCCCCATATGACAAACATTTCGGTCCCGTATGACATACATTTCGGTCACCTACTGCCTACCGTGTGGTCCCGTATGACACACATTTCGGATACCCACTGCCTACCGTGTGGTCCCGTATGACACATATTTCGGTCACCCACTGCCTATCGTGTGGTCCCGTATGACACACATTTCGGTCACCCACTGCCTACCGTGTTGCCCTGTATGACACACATTTCGGTCACCCACTGCCTACCGTGTTGCCCTGTACAAACTGATGGTGATAATGGATTGACTTCATCAACATCCAAAAATCTTGGATCGGGTTTATAGACTTTGAGCAGTAGTCGAATTAAATTTGTGTATGTCAATAAAATATTTATGAAATTTCAAAACAATTTAATAAATACACAAATTAACGAATAGGTAGAAAATAAACGAATCGATAGATAAGAAATAAACGAATGAATGAATTAATGTGCATAAAACTAAATTGAACCAATGCATGAATCAATGAATGAATGAAAAGTGAAGGAAATGTAGAAATGGTAACAGGAAGATGGATAAAACGAATAAAATGAGAACCTAACTTATTAAAAATCAATAATAATAATTATATGATTTATAAAATGGTTACCGTGAATGTAGAGTGTAATCGAAAAGACACTTGAGCCGTTCAGGTAAATCCTCCGGCGTCCCTCCTCATTCTGTAAACATATTGTCCTGGATTTCTTCTGTGAACTATAATTTTAGACTGGTGAACATCCAGCTCTCTGACGAGATCAGATTTTTTTTTTCTTTCCGGTGTTAATGGAATCAAATCAGACTTTAAGGAAGAACTTACGACAATATAATAGTTGCGAAATGTCTGTTAAATAAAAATAAAAAGGTCCAAAAACGTCTCGTTCGGCACAACTCCAATACCGACTTCAACAGGTACTTATTGACGGGTGTTCGTTAGTGTTACGGTAGCGGTCGTAATTTGTAATTTCAATATGTTCTCGAGTGCTGCCCCACCCAGCTACTGAATGGGAGGCTGTCGAGGGGATCAAACATATAAAGGTTTAATCAGACCAGGACTGTAGAGGGCAGATAGCCAAACGGGTACGCCATATACACGCCAAAGATAAGCGCCGAAATGTTCCTAAATCTGCCGACATTTAAAGAGCCACGGGTAAGCGACATTTCTTACATCCCAGCCCAGATATAGGATACGTAATACATGCTACTGAATTCATTTGTTATCCCTTAGCTTGGATCGGGATGGTTTTAAAAGTGGATAAGACAGTCCTTATTCAGAGGCGATGTGAGTTATATCAGACGGTCAAGGGCATTAAAGGTCTCCTCTATTTAACTTTCGTTAGGATTGTAACTGTAGCCCGAGTTCACTTGTGCCAGGACACTATCGTCGACCAGGTAGCCAAATCGGTTAGAGCGAAAGTATATCAATATGAAGTCATGGGTTCGAATCTCGGTCTAGCCGCGCAGATTGTTTACACTCAGAGCATTGTTGTTGATTGTTTTTTTGTTTATTTCATCTTTATTATTTCTGATAAAAGTCCCGCGATGTATGGTTTTATTTTCATAAATGATTTTTAATAAGTTATAGTCATGCATGAAAAAAACATTTTTCAATGCATGGTTATTTTTTGACAGTGGCACAGGGATCCTTAAAACTGGTAGAAATGACATCACAGAATAATTTAATACAAGAGGCCCCATAGGCCTGAATCGCTCACCTGGTATTAATCTCACACTTGTAATCTTAAAAGTGGGCTAAAATACAGCTACAGGCAGAACATCAGTGTTTGATTCATAAGAACCTATTAAAAGGATTAAACATATGACGCCTGTGACCTTGAAAGTCAAACAAGGACATTAAGTTGAACAGATTTTATAGCCTTCTATCCCAGCATGATTCTGGCCAAATATCATTACTCTGGACCTTTTGGTTATTTAGAACAAGTCATTTAAAGATTTAAACGTATTTGACCCCTGCGACCTTGTATAAAGGTCAAGGTCATTCGTTTAAGCAAACTGTGTAGCCCTTCATTCCAGCATGTTACTAGCCCAATATCATCATCCTAGGCCTCTTGGTTATTCAGAAGAATATTTGACCCCTGTGACCTTGAATATGGGTGAAGGTCATTCATTTGAACAAACTTGTTAGCCCTTCATCTCAGCATGAGAAGTTGTTTTGTCACCTTGTGACCTTGAAAGTTGGTCATGGCTGTTCCCCTCCATGAAAGCCCTTTTCCACACATGCTTATATCCGAATATTAACCATTTCCAAGCATGCTTATGACCAAATATCAGCCCTTTTCCCAGCATACTTATGACCAAATATCATCCCTTTTCCCAGCACTCTTATGACCAAATATCAGCCCTTTTCCCTGCAATCTTATGACCAAATATCAGCCCTTTTCGCAGCAAGCTTATGACCAAATATCATCTATTTTAACGGTATGCATATGGCAATATATCTGCCCTTTTCAAAGCATGCTTATGAACATATATCTGCCCTTTTCCTAGTATGCTTAAGACCAAATATCAGCCCGTTTCTTAGCATATTTATGAACATATATCTGCCCTTTTCCCAGCATGCTTATGACCAAATATCATCCCTTTTCCAAGCATGATTATGACCAAATATCAGCCCGTTTCTTGGCATACTTATGAACATATATCTGCCCTTGAAATTTGGTCAAGGTTGTTCCCCGTCCTGAAAGCCCTTTTCCACACATGATTATATCCGAATATTAACCATTTTCCTGCATGCTTATGACCAAATATCATCCATTTTACCAGCATGCTTAAGACCATATATCAGCCCTTTTCCCAGCATGTTTATGACCAAATATCAGCCCTTTTCCCAGCATGATTATGACCAAATATCATCCCTTATCCCAGCAGGCTCATGACCAAATATCAGTCATTTCCCCAGCATGCCTATGAGGAAATATCAGCCCTTTTTCAAGCATGCTTATGACCAAATATCATCCCATTTCCCAGCAATCTTATGACCAAATATCAGTCCTTTCCCCAGCATGCCTATGAGGAAATATCAGCCCTTTTTCAAGCATGCTTATGATCAAATATCATCCCTTTTTCCAGCATACTTATGACCAAATATCATCCCTTTTCCCAGCAATCTTATGACCAAATATCATCCCTTTTCCCAGCAATCTTATGACCAAATATCAGCCCTTTTCGCAGCAAGCTTATGACCAAATATCATCCATTTTAACGGTATGTTTATGGCAATATATCTGCCCTTTTCAAAGCATGCTTATGAACATATATCTGCCCTTTTCCTAGTATGCTTATGAACAAACTACAGCGCTTTGCTCAATATGTTTATGACTATTTTTCAGCCCTTTCCAAAGCATTCTTATGACCAAATATCTGCCCTTTTCCCAGCAAGCTTATGACCAAATATCAACCATTTTCCCAGCATGATTATGACCAAATATCGGCCCTTTGCCCTGCATGCTTATGACCAAACTACAGCGCTTTACTCAATATGTTTATGACTAAATATCAAACCTTTTCCCTGCATGCTTATAACCAAATTTTCAGGAGAAGTTGTTCGAATGATTTTTTCATTCCCGTGACCTTGAAAGTTGGTCAAGGTTGTTCCCCTCCATGAAAGCCCTTTTCCCAGCATGCTTATGACCAAATATCGGCCCTTTTCCTTGCATCCTTATGACTAAATATCAGTCGTTTTCCCAGCAAGCTGATGACCAAATATTGGCCCTTTCCCCAGCATGCTATGACCAAATATCAACACTTTCCCTATCATGCTTATGACTAAATATCAGCCCTTTTCCAAGCTTGTTTATGACCAATTATCAGCCCTTTCCCCTGCATGCTTATGACCATATATCAGCCCTTTTCCCAGCATGCTCATGACTAAATATCAGCCCTTTTCCAAGCATGCTTATGACTAAATATCAAAACTGTGTGTCTCTGGATTATTGATAAGAAGCTGTTTCAATGTTTTAATAAAATGGAGCCCTTTTATCTCCGAAGTCAAGATCATTCATTTAAACCAACATCATAGCCTTTCATCTGGTCATGAACTTAAAGGTGAGTCAAGGTCATTTATTGGGACAGAAGTGATTTGCCTTCATTCCTGCCTCTGGCCTAATATCATCATATTTAGCAGCCTCCTGTTAAATAAGAAACATTCATTTTAATTTATTTATAAAATTGACCCCGACCTTAAAGTGGGTCAAGGGCATTCATTAGAATCAGCTGATACCTGGTTACTTCACCATACTACTAGCCACAAAATTGACCCTTAGGACCTTGTAATTGAAGCAAGATAATTCATTCAAACGAACTTTACTGATCTTTTTTTAAGCATGCTTGTATTCAAATATCTTCTCTTGGCCCCTTGGTTATTCAAAAGTTGTTTAAAGATTGTAACATTTACGTATTTGACCTTTGCTACCTTCAAAATGGGTCAAGGTTACTCATTTAAACAAACTTGATAGCTCTTCATCCCACCATGCCAGTGGTCATATATCACCTCAGATCTACTGCATATTTATAAGTCATTTAAATGTTTTAACATATTTGACTCTCATGACCTTTAAAGTGGTTCAAGGTCATTCCCGACATACACATCCTTCTATACCGGCATGCTATAGGCCAAATATCATCACCCTTGGCTTCTTAGTTATTCATAAGGAGATGTTCAATGGGTTTTACAAATGTTACCCCTGTGACCATTAAAGTTGGTCAAGGTCATTCTTTTGAACAAACTTGAAAGCCCTTCACCTCAGCATGCTATTGGCAAAATATCATCCCCTTAAGACTTCTTGGACATTCGGAGGAAGGCGTTCAGATTGAAAAGTTGACACTGGAAGAAAGAGTGACATATAGACAACCAAAGGGTTGTGAGACACGGTAGTCTAGTGGTAAGATGCCAAGCTCGTGACCGAAGGGTTGTGAGACACGGTAGCCTAGTGGTAGGATGCTGAGCTCGTGACCAAAGGGTTGTGAGACACGGTAGTCTAGTGGTAGGATGCCAAGCTCGTGACCGAAGGGTTGTGAGACACGATAGTCTAGTGGTAGGATGCCGAGCTCGTGACCAAAGGGTTGTGAGACACGGTAGTCTAGTGGTAGGATGCCGAGCTCATGACCGAAAGGTTGTGAGACACGGTAGTCTAGTGGTAGGTATACTTCACTCCGCTTGTTCCAGTCTACTCAGCTGTAAATGAGTAAGTGGTTGAGCAGTGCTAGAATTGTTGAATGCTAGCTGTTGGTGTCAAAATGGCAGCACCGGCTGTATGTGAGTTGAGAAAGAAATTGGCTGGTTACAAAGGCCCTATAACCACAGATAATAATTTGTGAACTGCTTTGAAACGACCTATGAACTAGGTTGTGATAAAGCGGTATATAAGAACCTCAAATTATTATTATTATCATTCAACCCAGACTCCATCTAGGGTTTGTGTTCCTTCTTCTACTAGTTCCTGCACCAAAAGAAGACAGCTAATATTGAGATCAATAAACATTTAATATCAAGCATGAATCCAATAAAGCGATATATACAATGACTGAACATTCGGCCACTATCACACCACGTACAGCCTTTAATTAGGTACAACATTCGGCCACTGTCACACGTACAGCCTTCAATAATGTACAACATTCGGTCACTATCACACGAACAGACTTCAATAAGGTACAACACGTGCCCACTATCCCACGTACAGCCTTCAATGAGGTACAACATTCGGTGACTATCACACGTACAGCCTTCAACAAGGTACAACATTCGGTTACTATCACACGTACAGCCTTCTATAAGGTACAACATTCGTCCACTATCACAAGTACAGCCTTCAATAAGTTACAACATTCGGTCACTTTCACACGTACAGCCTTCAAAAAGGAACAAGTTACGGTCACTATCACACGAACAGACTTCAATAAGGTACAACATTAAGCCACTATCACACGTACAGGCTTCAAAAAGGTACAAGTTACGGTCACTATCACACGAACAGACTTCAATAAGGTACAACATTTGGTCACTATCACACGAACAGACTTCAATAAGGTACAACATCCGGCCACTATCACACGTAAAGCCTTCAATAAGGTACATCAGTCGGTCACTATCACACGTCCAGCCTTCAATAAGGTACCACATCTGGTCACTATCACACGAACAGACTTCAATAAGGTACAACACTCGGCCACTATCACACCACGTACAGCCTTTAATTAGGTACAACATTCGGCCCCTATCACACGTACAGCCTTCAAAAAGGAACAAGTTACGGTCACTATCAGACGAACAGCCTTCAATAAGGTACCACATCTGGTCACTATCACACGAACAGCCTTCAATAAGGTACAACATTCGGCCACTATCACACGTACAGCCTTCAAAAAGGTACAAGTTACGGTCACTATCACACGAACAGCCTTCAATAAGGTACAACATTTGGTCACTATCACACGAACAGCCTTCAATAAGGTACAACAACATTCACCCCTAAATACACCATGATATCATTGAAATGAAAATCAGAAAATGTAGGAAACACATTGGCGCTGGGTACAATAGGAGCACAAGGTGATTTCTAATATGACCTTACAATATTGTACATTTTTTAAAACGTTAGCAGATTTCCTGCTCCATAAACCTCAAAAGGCCTAGCTTCTCAGAAGTTCTGGTATATCACAACCACTAAAACATATCTTCATCATTCACATATGGCTACAATACAAATACTGACCACTTTTATCAACTGAAATGTTTCTGGAAATGTCCCCCTTATCAAATAGTGGAGTCTGAATTATCAAAATACCTTTATATGTATATATGTAAGTAAATATAAGAAAGACGTATGTACTGTTATTCATCGCCATGACTATCAAATATATCATAATAGGCCGTAGCTGTCCCTTTGCAACGACTTGACAATTTGCCGTGATTGTTTTCGGTGCTGACTCAAATTATTTTAAATTCTTTTTATCTTAGCGGCTTTGATTTTGTGTGATGCGAACAAGATTGACTATAATAATTTATTTTTGTTCGAACTGGGCCGAAGATTTACCGTAACTATTATTTCTAATGACATCATCAATTGTACATTTCTGTTTTCACAATAAACTTTCCCCACCTTCCTGACTTGTAACCTTGTTTTATTCTAATCGCATATTACCCCAAAAATCATCTGGAATGTGAAAACCTGATTTGTAGTGTTTCATCACTGTTACATAGATCGGTATTCACATAGAATGTCCAGCCATGCAATGGCCCCAGCTCTATATCTAGTTGCTTTAAGGTCCAATTTTTAATTTCTTTCTTCCGGGTTCTGAAAAATGTAATGGCTACAATTTTATTTCAACTTCAAACAAAGGAGATAACATCTTCGAATTCCTTAGTATCAATGACTGGTATGTTAAGATAATTGTCCATTGCTTCATACATTCTTAATTCTATCAGGACTTGAATTTGGTAGCGGGAAATAATAACTGATGAAAACATGACAGATATACTGTAAATTTACTTATTTTAGTGCATTCTAATTTTAGCGCATTATCAAATTTTAACAGATTTTGTGCATTGATGAATTGGCGCAACCAGAAAATATGCACTAGAGAACAATATACAAGAACTTCAGTTAGTGCATTCATAATTTTGAAAAGCGCTAAAATATGTATGTTTACAGTATATTGGTGTATTCCAGATTGGCTCGTAATAAGATATTAGGAAGATACTGTAGATTCACTGATGTTTCTCTTCATAAATAAACTTAAACAAGAGATCCCAGAGGGATCTTGGCGCCCAACATTGTACCATCTTCATTAGTTCTTTGTCAGTTCGATCTTTTCCCTTCTTTCCTCTAATCTGTTTGATCGAGTCATGTTAACAGTAAATGCACCTTGAGGTAACTTTTGATCTAAACTTAATACTGATGTGTATGAAAGCCAACCTTCAAAGTGAGTTTGTCATTTCACATGTTTACTAGTACAGTACTTAATGTGAAAGAAATAGAATCGATCATTGCAATATGAGAAAGATCTGTTTAGTTCTTTTATTCCATTTTGTTTTTATGATCAGTCTCAAAATATAATACGCACAACGAGGGATCAAGGGGAACCTACATTTAAAATTTGAGAAAGATCCCTCTGGTACTTCCCAAGAAATAGCGATAACAAACTTTCACTATCAAAATCCAAGATGGCTGCCTGTCGTCCATGTTGTTTATCCGATCAGTCTCTAAAATTGCCCTGCACAGCTAGGACCAAGAGGAACCTACATATAAAATTTAAGAAAGATCCCTATAGATCTTCCCGAGAAATAGCGGTAACAAACCTACACTATCAAAATCCAAGATGGCTGCCTGTCAGCTATGTTGTTTATCCGATCAGTCTCTAAAATTGGCCTGCACAGCTAGGACCAAGAGGAACCTACATATAAAATTTAAGAAAGATCTCTATAGATCTTCCCGAGAAATAGCGGTAACAAACCTACACTATCAAACTCCAAGATGGCTGCCTGTTGTCCATGTTGTTTATCCGATCAGTCTCTAAAATTGCCCTGCACAGCTAAGGACCAAGGGGAACCAACATATAAAATTTGAGAAAGATCCCTCTGGTACTTCTTGAGAAATAGCGATAACAAGAATTATTTAAGGATGGACGACGGACGACGGACAGACGACGGACCATGGACGCAGGGTGATTTGAATAGCCCACCATCAGATGATGGTGGGCTAAAAGTATAAAACTCCAGAAACATATGTGATGAATACTATATATATGACAAAGAACTGTTCAAAATCTCATTTGATTTGGAAAGACCTAGGTTGGAGTAAGTGCAGCAAATATATTACCATTAATAGTAAACAATATGAAGTCTGTTTAACTATTTAAATATGACAATACCACAAGGGGCTGTAAATATATATATATTGAAAACGGTGCAAATTTATTTTTAAAAAGATCCTGAGTTCTAAATAAAAACCCTTGTCTTTGTTTTGGTCAATAGTAGTCATGCAAAAAGCCTTTTATCAGTGTTCAATTAACAAGACATTATTTGATAAATGACTTATCTTGTTAACAATGCGATAGTTTACAGGGATTCTGGTGAAAGGTAATCTATAGTAAAGAGGGGTTCTGGTGAAGGTATTCTATAGTATAGAGGGGTTCTGGTGAGGGTATTCTATAGTATGAGGGGTTCTGTTGAGGGTATTCTATAGTATGGAGGGATTCTGGTGAGGGTGCTCTATAGTAGAGAGGGGTTCTGGTGAGGGTATGCTATATTATAGAGGGGTTCTGGTGAGGGTATTCTATAGTATACAGGGGTTCTGGTGAGGGTATTCTATAGTATCCAGGGGTTCTGGTGAGGGTATTCTATAGTATCCAGGGGTTCTGGTGAGGGTATTCTATAGTATACAGGGGTTCCGGTGAAGGTATTCTATAGTATAGAGGGGTTCTGTTGAGGGTATTCGATAGTATATAGGGGTTCTGATGAGGGTATTCTATAGTATAGAGGGATTCTGGTGAGGGTATTCTATAGTATACAGGGGTTCTGGTGAGGGTATTCTATAGTATATAGGGGTTCTGATGAGGGTATTCTATAGTATAGAGGGGTTCTGGTGAGGGTATGCTATAGTATATAGGGGTTCTGGTGAGGGTATTCTATAGTATAGAGGGGTTCTGGTGAGGGGATTCTATAGTATATAGGGGTTCTGTTGAGGGTTTTATATAGTATAGAGGGGTTCTGGTGAGGGGATTCTATAGTATAGAGGGGTTCTGGTGAGGGGATTCTATAGTATAGAGGGGTTCTGGTGAGGGAATGCTATAGTATATAGGGGTTCTGGTGAGGGGATTCTATAGTATAGAGGGGTTCTGGTGAAGGTATTCTATAGTATAGAGGGGTTCTGGTGAGGGTATTCTATAGTATATAGGGGTTCTGTTGAGGGTATTATATAGTATAGAGGGGTTCTGGTGAGGATATTATATAGTATAGAGGGATTCTGGTGAGGGTATTCTATAGTATAGAGGGGTTCTGGTGAGGGTATTCTATAGTATAGAGGGGTTCTGTTGAGGTTATTATATAGTATAGAGGGATTCTGGTGAGGGTATTCTAAAGTATAGAGGGGTTCTGGTCAGGGTATTCTATAGTATAGAGGGGTTCTGGTGAAAGGTAATCTATAGTTAATGGGGATTCTGGTGAGGGTATTCTATAGTATACAGGGATTCTGGTGAAAGATATTCTATAGTATAGAGTGGTTCTGGTGAGGGTATTCTATAGTATAGAGGGGTTCTGGTGCAGGTATTTATAGTTAATGGGGATTCTGGTGAAAGGAATTCTATTGTAAATGGGGATTCAGGCGAAAGGTATTCTATAGTAAATATGGATTCTGGTGAAAGATATTCTAAAGTAAATGGGGATTCTGGTGTGGGTATTTATAGTTAATTGGGATTCTGGTGCGGGTATTTATAGTTAATTGGGATTCTGGTGAAAGGTATTCTATTGTAAATGGGGATTCTGGTGAAAGGTATTTATAGTTAATGGGGATTCTGGTAAAAGATATTCTATAGTAAATGGGGATTCTGGTGTGGGTATTTATAGTTAATTGGGATTCTGGTGCGGGTATTTATAGTTAATGGGGATTCTGGTGCGGGTATTTATAGTTAATGGGGATTCTGGTGAAAGATATTCTATAGTAAATGGGGATTCTGGTGCGGGTATTTATAGTTAATGGGGATTCTGGTGCAGGTATTTATAGTTAACAGGGATTCTGGTGAAAGATATTCTATTGTAAATGGGGATTCTGGTGAAAGGTATTCTATTGTAAATGGGGATTCTGGTGAAGGATATTCTATTGTAAATGGGGATTCTGGTGCGGGTATTTATAGTTAATGGGGATTCTGGTAAAAGATATTCTATAGTAAATGGGGATTCTGTTGAAAGATATTCTATTGTAAATGGGGATTCTGGGGAAAGGTATTCTATTGTAAATGGGGATTATGGTGCGGATATTTATAGTTATTGGGGATTCTGGTGAAAGGTATTTATAGTTAATGGGGATTCTGGGGCAGGTATTTATAGTTAACAGTGATTCTGGTGAAAGATATTCTAAAGTAAATGGGGATTCTGGTGTGGGTATTTATAGTTAATTGGGATTCTGGTGAAAGGTATTCCATAGTAAATGGGGATTATGGTGCGGATATTTATAGTTATTGGGGATTCTGGTGCAGGTATTTATATTTAATGGGGATTCTGGTGAAAGATATTCTATTGTAAATGGGGATTCTGGGGAAAGGAATTCCATAGTAAATGGGGATTCTGGGGCGGATATTTATAGTTATTGGGGATTCTGGTGAAAGGTATTCCATAGTAAATGGGGATTATGGTGCGGATATTTATAGTTATTGGGGATTCTGGTGAAAGGCATTCTATAGTTAATGGGGATTCTGGTGCCGGTATTTATAGTTAACAGGGATTCTGGTGAAAGATATTCTATTGTAAATGGGGATTCTGGTGAAAGGTATTCCATAGTAAATGGGGATTCTGGTGCGGATATTTATAGTTATTGGGGATTCTGGTGAAAGGTATTCTATAGTTAATGGGGATTCTGGTGCTGGTATTTATAGTTATTGGGGATTCTGGTGCAGGTATTTATAGTTAATGGGGATTCTGGTGAAAGATATTCTATTGTAAATGGGGATTCTGGTGAAAGGTATTCTATAGTAAATGGGGATTCTGGTGAAAGATATTCTATAGAAAATTGGGATTCTGGTGCAGGTATTTATAGTTTATGGGGATTCTGGTGCATGTATTTTTAGTTAATGGGGATTCTGGTGAAAGGTATTCTTTAGTAAATGGGGATTCTGGTGCGGGTATTTTTAGCACCCCCTCCCCTCACAAATAACCCGCAATACACATTATACTGTGTTTAGGACTAGCCGCCCCTCCCCTCACCAATAACCCACAACACAAATTATACTGTGTTTAGGACTAGCACCACCTCCCCTCACCAATAACCCACAACACACATTACACTGTGTTTAGGACTAGCACCCCCTCCCCTCACCAATAACCCAAAACACACATTAAACTGTGTTTAGGACTAGCACCCCCTCCCCTCACCAATAACCCACAACACAAATTATACTGTGTTTAGGACTAGCACCACCTCCCCTCACCAATAACCCACAACACACATTATACTGTGTTTAGTACTAGCACCCCCTCCCCACATTCATACTTGCCAACATGTTAAAATTTCAATCGGGGAGATGGTGTGGGTTCTGGTGAAGGTATTCTATAGTATAGAGGGGTTCTGGTGAGGGTATTCTATAGTATAGAGGGGTTCTGGTGAGGGTATTCTATAGTATAGAGGGGTTCTGGTGAGGGTATTCTATAGTATAGAGGGGTTCTGGTGCAGGTATTTATAGTTAATGGGGATTCTGGTGAAAGGTATTCCATAGTAAATGGGGATTCTGGTGCGGGTATTTTTAGCACCCCCTCCCCTCACAGATAACCCGCAATACACATTATACTGTGTTTAGGACTAGCCCCCCCTCCCCTCACCAATAACCCACACAACACATTATACTGTGTTTAGGACTAGTACCCCCTCCCCTCACCAATAACCCACAACACACATTATACTGTGTTTAGGACTAGCACCCCCTCCCCACATTCATACTTGCCAACATTTTAAAATTTCAATCGGGGAGATGGTGTGTACTCATAATAAAGAGCATAAATAAGATGCGGGGTATGTACACCCTAGTGGGAGAAAAGCACTTTTAAATGACATCTTTTAGGCTGTTCTTTCAGATGAAATCATCAGAACTTAAAAAATAGGAATAGTTAAGCAAATTCACAGGTTGACAATGCTAACTTTTAGGGTCCAAAATCGGGAGTCTCCCTCCTAAACAGGGAGGGTTGGCAAGTATGCCCATTTACAGGTCAGGTATAGTATGTACTTACGTCCCAGTTATTGGCGGTCTCCTTGCCCAGATGTACAAATATGCTGAGGATCCTTTTGACCCTGTCAAAGGAATCTTCACCTGAATAAAAAAAAAAAATGGTTAAAGACTTTACTCTGTGATAATTAACCCTTTCAACCCTGTGTAACTTCAGTAAATTCTACCATGCATTGATCCGGATGAGTTCATAATGGTGTACAGTGGTGAAAGGGTTAACAACGAATCACATTGTTCATATATTGTCAAGGACAGCAGTTAATCCAAAATTGACAATTCACAAGAAGAATCAATCAAGTAAATCCCCATGCATTTTAAAACACACTTAACAAATAGTTTGACAAAACACTGTGAACCCCCCACCCCCCTCTGTGATACAACCCCTTTGACACATGCATCAGTGTTCATGTTAATGAAGAAATGTAAAGGAAAATTCACTGATAGCTTTGTGGGACGCATTCTGTCATAGAATTTTCATTGCGTATTGAACTTTTATTTTACTGGTGTAAGAACCCTTTTTTCATTTGAACAAACTCGTAAGCCTCTTGTCCTACCACGAAATATCATCTAGGGGTCGACACTAGCACTAGTCTGCTAGACCTGGACTAGTAGATTTCAGCAAGGAGTTGGACTAGTGAATCACCTAACCTAACTGACTGGTCCTTTGGACTTGTGAAAATATGATTATAAAATAAAAATAGTCCTTTTTAAAATTTAGAAAACTGCTTAAAATAAGATATATTGCATGCTACTAATTGTAAAAAAAAACGTAAAACTTCACCATATTTTTATGGCAGTAGTTATTTTAAGTCCCCTACAGTCGATTATTTTTGATGTTTCGCGCTGTAGATTGTGAGGTTTCCTTATCAGGAATCTTGGACTGGTTACATTGATGAAGGACTAGTAAATAATCTATTCAACTAGTCCTGTGGACTATCAAGCAATAATCGTTCGTGTCTAACCGTGTGATCATCCTTGTTTATAGATCTCTAGGTTATTTGGAAGTTTAATAACATATACCTGAAAAACCAGGAGGCAGGGGGTGATGAATTATGCCAGTAGCCTGCTAGGATACAGGGCTATCAATTTTCTTGAAATCTTCGACCCATTTTCAAGGTTACAGAGGTCAAATTTTATAAAGACCTATTATCTGTATAACCATTCAACCCAGTATGCTGCTGGGAAAATATCAACTCTTCACTTTGTAGGTTTCTTGGTTTAATACCAGAAAATGTTATTTATAGGTTTTGACAGTTTTGACCTATGCTTTTGAAAGTGGTTCAAGATTTCAACAAAATTAATAGCTCTGTATATCCCAGCATGCTACTGACCAAATATCATCCTAGATCTCTTGGCTATTCTGTTGAAAGTTTTCAACAAATTTGACCCCTGTGACCTTGAAAGTGGTTCAAGATTTCAACAAAATTGATGTCCCTTCATCCCAGCATATCACTGGCAAAATGTCATCATCCTTTGCCTTTTGGTTATTTGGAAACAAGGTGAGTTAAAAAACTTTTGAACTTCTGAATGACCAACAGATCAATATTTTGACATCAGAGTTTAAGATTTTGTCTTCCTGTGCAACCGATAACCTGGACTTTGCCAGCCAATCTATCAGAGTTTAGGATTTTGTCTTCCTGGGCGACCGATAACCTGGACTTTGCCAGCCAATCTATCAGAGTTTAGGATTTTGTCTCCCTGTGCGACCGATTCCCTGGACTTTGCCAGCCAATCAATCAGAGTTTAGGTTTTTGTCTTCCTGTGCGACCGATTACCGGGACTTTGCCAGCCAATCTATCAGAGTTTAGGATTTTGTCTTCCTGTGCGACCGATTACCTGGACTTTGCCAGCCAATCTATCAATCATGTTTTCATTTGGATCAGAAGATATATCATGCATTTGGAGAGGACTGCCCAACTTTTCCATGACAGCATCATAACTCTGCAGTATACCTAACGCCTGGGTGACGTATGGTTCACCCTTGATGTTAGCTGAAACATAAATACAATCATGAATTTCTTTCTTAAAGTTGCAGATAAAAAATCTTCGTTATTTCTATGAAAATTACTTATGAATATTATGGTCATGTAACCAACTAAATGTGTCATGCTGTTAATATTTCTATATTTTTTTTTATAATTTTCAGAGATGTAAACCGTCAGATAAACGATAAACATGGAAAAACATATTTAAGACAAAAAAAAACACCTTCTTGATGTCTTGTTGTTGACAAACATTCTGCTGAAGTGCTCAACTTTTTAGGAGACTCGATAGAAACTTGTTCATCAGTATTATAAGAGAAATTGGTGTTCCCAATCGATTATATTTTTGAGGGTAGGATTTACAGATCTGGAAGATTTTGTACACCAAGAGGCAGTCAGAGGTTTTAAAATGAAAGGGAAAGCTCTATAAGGCTTGAAGGTGGCAATCCGCAACCCCTGGTTATCTAGCTAGCTACAAAATGGTCACTTGAATGTTTACCCCACATCTATAAGGGAAGGTTCTCTAAGGTCTGGTGGTGACAACCTGTGGTCACCTAGGTTCTGATTGGTCAATAGAAGATTTACCCCATAGCTATAAGGGAAGGTTCGCTAAGGTCTGGTGGTGACAACCTGTGGTCACCTAGGTTCTGATTGGTCAATAGAAGATTTACCCCATAGCTATAAGGGAAGGTTCGCTAAGGTCTGGTGGTGACACCCTGTGGTCACCTAGCTTCTGATTGGTCAATATAAGATTTACCCCACAGCTATAAGGGAAGGTTCGCTAAGGTCTTGTGGTGACAACCTGTGGTCGCCTAGCTACGGATTGGTCAATAGAAGATTTACCCCACAGCTATAAGGGAAGGTCCTCTAAGGTCTGGGGGTGACAACCTGTGGTCACCTAGCTACTGATTGGTCAATAGAATATTTACCCCACAGCTATAAGGGAAGGGCCTCTAAGGTCAGGTGGTGACAACCAGTGGTCACCTAGCTACTGATTGGTAAATAGAAGATTTACCCCAGAGCTATAGGCGAAGGTTCCCTAAGGTCTGGTGGTGACAACCTGTGGTCACCTAGCTTCTGACTGGTCAATAGAAGATTTCCCCCACAGCTATAAGGGAAGGTTCGCTAAGGTCTTGTGGTGACAACCTGTGGTCGCCTAGCTACGGATTGGTCAATAGAAGATTTACCCCACAGCTATAAGGGAAGGTTCGCTAAGGTCTTGTGGTGACAACCTGTGGTCGCCTAGCTACGGATTGGTCAATAGAAGATTTACCCCACAGCTATAAGGGAAGGTTCGCTAAGGTCTTGTGGTGACAACCTGTGGTCGCCTAGCTACGGATTGGTCAATAGAAGATTTACCCCACAGCTATAAGAGAAGGTTCTCTAAGGTCTGGTGGTGACAACCTTTGGTCGCCTAGCTACTGATTGGTCAATAGAAGATTTACCCCACAGCTATAAGGGAAGGTTCGCTAAGGTCTTGTGGTGACAACCTGTGGTCGCCTAGCTACGGATTGGTCAATAGAAGATTTACCCCACAGCTATAAGAGAAGGTTCTCTAAGGTCTGGTGGTGACAACCTGTGGTCACCTAGCTACTGATTGGTCAAGAGAATATTTACCCCACAGCTATAAGGGAAGGTCCTCTAAGGTCAGGTGGTGACAACCAGTGGTCACCTAGCTACTGATTGGTAAATAGAAGATTTACCCCAGAGCTATAGGAGAAGGTTCCCTAAGGTCTGGTGGTGACAACCTGTGGTCACCTAGCTTCTGATTGGTCAAGAGAATATTTACCCCACAGCTATAAGGGAAGGTCCTCTAAGGTCAGGTGGTGACAACCTGTGGTCACCTAGCTACTGATTGGTAAATAGAAGATTTACCCCAGAGCTATAGGAGAAGGTTCCCTAAGGTCTGGTGGTGACAACCTGTGGTCACCTAGCTTCTGATTGGTCAATAGAAGATTTACCCCAGAGCTACAAGGGAAGGTGGTGACAACTTGTAGTCACATGATTATGATTATCTTGGATGGAATTCTCACCAAAGTACAAAGTGTCTCCCAGATATTCTGGGCGCTCCAGCTTCATCCGTTCAATGGCAACTGATTTAGAACATCTGCTCCTCTGTTTCCTTACTGAACCAATGCAATAAAAAAAAAAATTGAAGTCAATATATGTTACAATAGATCCTCAACTGGAGGTATAGTAATCATAAGGTTTCAATATATGCCCTATGCTAACTAGGCTAAATATCCAAGGTCCTCCTGACTGCAATAACTCAACAGACATATTGTAAGATTTCCGAGTCAGAGGTCCGGGATCCCAGGATTACTCATTAGCAGACTCCAGTAAAGTGAATGGGGGTCATGTATATGTTCTGCTATACATCCTCAAATCAGAGAAAGGTTCATACGATTACCTGTGCCAGCTATTGAGTCTTTTACTTCAAAATTGGTCCTTTTATCATTGACAGATAATATAAGCACCAGAATGTAATCGGGTTCAGAAGTTGAAGAGATGTTGTACATCACCTTTGGGGTAGAAGCCAACTAGACAGAGTGATCACTATACGCGCCATACACTCCATGTTCAAGCTAGGATCTGATAAAGGCAGGTCGCTGACCAATCAAGAGCACCCAGGGACAGCAACCCCCAACCCCTTCCCCTGCAGAATTGGGGACACGAAAGTGACCAAAATAAAACTGCTGCACCCATGCGATATATAGGATTTTTAAAATTCTCTCTTTTCTAAATATTATGATTTGTTTCGTAGTGCCTAGCTTGGCGATACCTGACTCTTAGCTTTAATGTCGAACACTTGCCCAGGTAAGGAAGGCAATGGGATCTGTCCCCATGCAGGGACATACCAAAGTCCTTAAAAATGGTAGTTGTTATTCTCTGCCTTATGTTCAGCAATTAGGGATTGAAAGCAACTGGTTCACCCATTGTCAGTATAATGTGACTGGGTGGAATGCTGTGCCTGGTGCCATCGGCATGGTATTTCAGTAAGACAGCACTATAATGTTGACATCAGATCTGCGCTATCACAAGGATGCAAATACACCAACATACTCTGTCTCCAGCACACATACACACATATAGTAAATTGAAGCAGATTACAAAACAAAAATGTACATAGTAATCCTACACCACACTGATTCTTCATCCCTGTCATTCCCTCTCCATTCCCCATCCCGGCCATTCCTCTTTTTCACCTTTCTTCCACCCTGCCATTCCCTTCCTGACCATTTCCCCTCCTGGCCATTCCTCCTCCCAGCCATTCCCCCTCCGGGCCATTCCCTCTCCTGACCATTCCCCCTCCTGACCATTCCTCCACCCTGCTATTCCCTTCCTGACCATTCCCCCTCCCAGCCATTTCTCCACCAAACCATTCCTCCTCCCCCCCCTCCCAGCCATTTCTCCACCAAACCATTCCCCCTCCCAGCCATTTCTCCACCAAACCATTCCCCCTTCCAGCCATTTCTCCACCAAATCATTCCCCCTTCCAGCCATTTCTCCACCCAACCATCCCCCCTCCCAGCCATTCCTCCTCCCCACCATTCCCTTTTTCAACAAAGTGGGGCTAAACTTGTCATGAACATGTGGCTGCTTGCAGTTGGAATTTACCCAACAAGCTTCAGTAAGAGAAGGCTCTAAAAGGGATCGTTTGACACCCCGAGGTCACCTAATATTTACCCTCCGTGGAACGCTCTCCGGGGCATGAAGATTCACTGAGCTGCTTTGCACGTTGGATTCGTTCACTGGTAGCTCTAGATTTTCTGCTCTTTCGTGGCATTCCTGATGAAAATCATAAAAAAAAACCCCATAAATTTCAAAATTATGGCCTTGTAAAAATTCATAACAATTATTCTTGAAACACATTTTTTTTTATTAATAAGCAGTACAAATTTATCTAAAAACCTTTCAAACACTTAACATGGATATATACAGGCCTTTTTATAACTGAATATGGGTCAATTCCCCTCTTCAACTTTGGCATTATTTCCCCTATCTTAACTTTATTTTGCCCTATTTTAGTTAAAAATTCTCAAACTTGTAACTAAAGTACTACCACATGAATATCTGTTTTGTATTAAATTTTGTTTCTATTTCCTGTTAGTTTCATGACCAAGTAATTTAGTTCATTTTCCTTGTGTGTATGCTGTCATTGCCGATATTTTACGACACTTTATAGCTGACCCTGTTAATGGTATACAATATCACAACAGGAACATACATGCTTTATTCAAATGAATATTCGATGATTGATTCAAAATGTTTATAATGAATAGCAATAAACAAAAATTGAAAATGTTATCCTCTTGTACTCTCCCCGTAGCTCCAGCTGGGCCCCTCACTGGGTGGCCTGCGGGTCATGGGCAGATTGGTCGAGTGGCTAACACTCCGGCCTTCCATGCAGGCGCCCAGGGTTTGATCCCTGAAGTCGTCCTATGCATGGATATTCAGAGAAAGTATTTTTCTCCTGCCCACACAACCCCAACAACCCAGGTGGAGTATGAAATGGTCAGGGGTGGATGGTGCCGTATCTGTTCTATAGCATTCAAGTGAGGTGGCACTATAAATGATGTCGTTGGAAGCACGGTCCCACTACAAACAGAACACATTACATCTCTAGCCCACACACAGGTATACACACATAGGGAGATATTAGCCAGGTGGCATAGGACTAGCAGTTAGTGCCTGATAAGGCAGCTCCTGCGAATTCCTCAATATTGTATTGATTAATATATATTTATGTACTGTAAAGCACTTTAGAGTAGCTTATGATAGCTAGATATGGCGGTATATCAAGTGTTGTATATTATGTATATTATGCGCCTACAGTGCATATTTTCCCGTTTCAAAACAAAGGGACTTATTTATACTTTGTATCCCTGCATTAATGCCTGCTTAATAATGAGGAACTTGAGTTTCTTCAAATGTCACAAAGCTTTTCTGCAAGTAAAATAAGAACAAAATATGAAACATATTTCCAAAGTCAACACACGTGGTGATAGCTATAGGTCAACCTTGGACTTTTTAAACCCCTACTGCACATCTAAATATTAGTGTATCACCATGTCCAATTTCAAAAAGATTAGACGTTTGGACTCCGAGAACGGTACCCAAAATTGTCTATTTTTAGTAAACATGACCAGTATGATGACCTTGACCTCAGCCTCAGTAAATTTTTTAACCCCTTTTGCACATCTACATTTCACAGTGTATCACCATGTCAAATTTCAGAAAATATAGTATTTAAATGTAGTATTGCAAAGAAGATCCCGGGGGTTAGGGCCAGTCTCCAGAGCAAATCTTGATAGTATCAGTCTTCATGCTCAGCATTTATAAATCATTAGGATTGGGATCCCAGATTTTTCTGTATTATGACCAGGGGACTAGATCTGTCAGGATGGGGACAGATCTCAAGGCCAATCCTGGTAGCACCATTTATATAATATCTTAATTAATTCCTTAACAGTTGGCTGCAATTGGAACATAAGCCCTTTGTTGATTGCATCCTATTCCAAACTATGTATCTGTACGAGTCTGAGCTTGGTTCAGTTTTGAACGTTGGTGCTTGGGGCGGCAGGCCTTACTTAGTCTTACGCTCATTGTCTATCGCCACAGCATCAGCAAGATCCCACTGGCATCCACCTTCAACTAGACAGAAGATGATAGATCTGTTTTTAACTCGTTTTAATTGTACATTGGCTATCGTGGATAGTTGTGACCCCCCGCTATGTGCAAACTGTCTGACAATATTCTTATGAATGATGCACATGATTGTGAAGAAGAAGAAGAACTATTGAATGTTTTTGTCTGCTTCGTTCTTACTTTGCTGGTGTCTTGTTTCAAATACTGTTCAGGGAGGATGGCTACTAGATTATGAATGAATTCATAGCAGTGTCAGTGTGTGCTATGGTCGCCTAATGACTACAAGAGGCTTAAGGCCCAACGGTTTCACCATTTGAGTTAGGCCTTCACTAGAGTGTTTGCTGTAATCTTTGCATCTGTATATCGGTGCACGTGTAGATACTGAGTCGAATTCAATTCAGACGATAACACTCAGGGAGGGGGTATCACTCAGGGAGGGTGTATCACCCAGGGAGGGGGTATCACTCAGGGAGGGGGGTATCAACCAGGGAGGGGGGTATCACTCAGGGAGGGGGTATCAATCAGGGAGGGGTTATCACTCAGGGAGGGGTATCACCCAGGGAGGGGGTATCACCCAGGGAGGGGGTATCACTCAGGGAGGGGGTTATCACTCAGGGAGGGGTATCACCCAGGGAGGAGGTATCACTCAGGGAGGGAGTATCATTCAGGGAGGGGGTATCACCCAGGGAGGGGGTATCACCCAGGGAGGGGGTATCACTCAGGGAGGGGGTATCACTCAGGGAGGGGGTATCACTCAGGGAGGGGGTATCATCCAGGGATTGGGTATCACTCAGGGAGGGGGTATCAATCAGGGAGGGGTATCAATCAGGGAGGGGTTATCACTCAGGGAAGGGTATCACCCAGGGAGGGGGTATCACCCAGGGAGGAGGTATCACTCAGGGAGGGGGGTATCACTCAGGGAGGGGGGTATCAATCAGGGAGGGGGTATCATCCAGGGATGGGGTATCACTCAGGGAGGGGGTATCACCCAGAGAGGGGGTATCACCCAGGGAGGGGGATCATTCAGGGAGGGGGTATCACTCAGGGAGGGGGTATCAATCAGGGAGGGGGTATCCCCCAGGGAGGGGGTATCACTTAAAGAGGGGGTGTCACTCAGGGAGGGGGTATCACCCAGGGAGGGGGTATCATTTAAAGAGGGGGTGTCACTCAGGGAGGGGGTATCACCCAGGGAGGGGTATCATTCAGGGAGGGGGTATCACTCAGGGAGGGGGTATCACTCAGGGAGGGTGTATCACCCTGGGAGGGGGTATCACTCAGGGAGGGGGTATCATCCAGGGATTGGGTATCACTCAGGGAGGGGGTATCAATCAGGGAGGGGAATCACCCAGGGAGGGGGTATCACTCAATGAGGGGGTATCACTCAGGGAGGGGGTATCACCCAGGGAGGGGGTATCACTCAGGAAGGGGGTATCACTCAGGGAGGGTGTATCACCCTGGGAGGGGGTATCACTCAGGGAGGGGGTATCAATCAGGGAGGGTGTATCACTCAGGGAGGGGTATCAATCAGGAAGGGGTATCACCCAGGGAGGGGGTATCACTTAAAGAGGGGGTGTCACTCAGGGAGGGGGTATCACCCAGGGAAGGGGTAACACTCAGGGAGAGGGTATCACCCAGGGAGGGGTATCACTCAGGGAGGGGGTAACACTCAGGGAGGGGTATCACCCAGGGAGGGGGTATCACTCAGGGAGGGGGTATCACCCAGGGAGGGGTATCACTCAGGGAGGAGGTATGCTGCACTAGTCAGATTTTTTTAGTCTGCTTTTGAAATTGTCCAAATCATCCGCAAAAACACAATATTTGATCGGCTAAATTGTTAATTATTATTGGAAAAAAGCTGTTTTGAATATATATCAGTTTGATGTTATGATTTTAAATGTCTCGGAGTGTTTTTGTCTTGTCGATTCAATTCAAGTTTATTTGGTAAAAAAAAGTACAAAAATGTAACAATTTCATACGGTACACAATATATGTTTTGACACTAATCATTTACATACGACCCCGTATTCTTAGTTGTTCTGGCCTCATATTATATATATATGATTCATGTTCATTTGGAATTAAATTTTAAATAAAATTTATTTATATAATGGATAATTCATGTTACTAATTCAAAGAAATAAAATCAAAAATTAAAACATACATCAAATTGTACATTTTGTTGTCTTTTCATTTGACATGTTGTCTAAAACGAAATACACCTGTGTAAACATACGGAGTAAGATTGCTATTTAAGACACATTACAATCACTGTCTTTTGTTTATCTTATTACCTCGTGCATTTGAAACTGTATGGCTTCTAGCAAGCGCCGTGTAAACACCATGGGTGTATAGTCTACCAATGTTGTTTTTACTTTTAGTTGATGAAAGATGTTGATCGATTTTAACAAGATGTGATGACAAAAAAGTGTGAAGATGCAAATTTGTATGCTCTCAACTAAACTATTACCATTAAGTAATGACTATTACCATTATATATATTAGCACGGACTGAATCTAATTCCGTGATATTAGTTATAACTATAACGTATATGCTGTTATAATTGTTTGATATAATTGTTAGATATATTTTGTCATTAAGTATATATTTTGTCATTAAGTATATATATTGTCATTAAGTATATATATATATTAGTTATATTTATTAGCTATATTTTATCATAACGTACATATCGGCTATAAGTATAAGATTTATTTTATTATTAGGCAAAAAAAAAAAGGTGTCTGTTTAGGGTTCCCGACCGACCCTAGCTTTTTACCCCCGACCCAAAACTTTTTGATGAAAATAAAAACGAAAAAACACCACGCTAATTTTCGATTTTTAGAAGGTTCCTTGCTTCCAGCTCTGTGTTAGCGCTAAATGTCATCTTATGGAGCACAATTTGCCTCCAAATGAATCTTGTTTATGTAATTCTTTGTTTTACATACAATAGTAGGGTCATAATCACATGACTAAAAATATACAAAAAACAAGAGGCCCATGGGCCTTAACGGTCACCTGATATATTTATACAGAGAGTTGATTTGTTTTTAACATGAACAGAAATATTATTCAAAGTGACAAAAAACAATAAAACCACCTTATTCAATATCTAGCATGCAGATTTAAGACTGAAAAGTATTTGAAACTAGCACCTCTGATTCTAAACAAGGAAAATGAAGAAATTTTATTTTAGCACACAGACTCCATATTGGGCCCCACCCTACAGCCCTTTGTGGTAGGGATGGCTCAAAATTTACAAAGTATCAAACTGTCAACTTAGGGTTATAATTCCAATCAAGTTATCAACATGTAATATTCAAAGTATCATTTGCCATTATAAACCATAACAAAT